TGGTCCCTGCTTGGCCCCGCTAGTATTGTTTTCCAGACCTCCTTCATCTCCACTAATCCCCCAATTCCCCTACCCTTGCTCCCTGATCTCCTCACTCAAGCCCACAGCCACCTCTGGTACCCCAATTCCAGCCCTCTTCACCTCATGGCCTGGTATTTTGATGGAGTGTGCGTGTGTTCTGCCCCCGTGCACGATGTCCTCATGCACAGTAGGCACCCATCTACCAGGGCTTGCTACCTCGCAAAGTGGCACTGCTTCAGTGCCTGGGCACAGCACCACGATCTCTGTTTTTATTTCAGTGATCCTGGATTGCCGTTTCCATCTTCATTGCTCAGACCTCGCTCACTCCTCTGTTCGAGTATACCTAGCGACACCCAGTGCCTTCCTTCCACCTGTGAATGGGTTCTCTGTTTTCATGTATCCAACTACTGCCCGCTTCCTCCCTGGTCTCCTCAATGTTTTTGCCTCGGTGGGAAAAACCAACCCCCGTCCTGGAACCTCAACCTTGTTCTCTCCACCCTCACTAAGTTCCCCTTTGAACCCCTGTTGATCTGCTCCCTTGCTCACCTCTCTGAATGTGGTGATCTTGGTCGCCAACACCTCCGCACAACACGTCAGCAAACTGGCCGCCATGATGGCAGACCCACCTTTCACCGTGACAAGGTCTCCCTATGTCTTCACCCCAAATTCCTTCCCAAAGTGGCCACCTCCATTTCACCTCAACCAGAGTGTGCACTTACCCACCTTCTACCTTAAGCCACATGCCTCTAGAAGGAGTGCATGCTACACACCCTTGATGTACGCCAAGCACTGGCCTTTTACCTCCAATGCGCCTGAGCCTTCTGCACCACCCCTTGTCTCTTCGTTGCCATCGTGGCCACGCTCTTTCCTTGCAACGTCTTTCCTGCTGGGTCTCCCGCTGCATCACTGACTGCTATGCACTCTCTGGTGTTCTCCCCCCCACTCCATTGGTCACAGCCCACTCGACACAGCCTCATGCAGCACGTCGGCTTTCCTTGCGGGCATCCCGTGTCAGGATATTTGTAGAGCGGCCACTTGGTCTTCCATTCACACCTTTACCGATCATTGTGTCCTAGTGCCTACAACGGCAGATGTGGCTGTTGGCCATGCTGTCCTTTGAACTGTTATTGCTGGAGAGCCTCCAGGCTGAATACGGCTGGTTGCTATCCCATGTTTGAATCCATATAGGGACCAGCACTGGAAGTCGAGAAGGTTACTTACTGTAACTTTAGGTTCTTCAAGATGTGTGGTCCTTATCTAGATTTCAGTCCTGCCCTTCATCCCCTTTACTCTGGGCTCTCCTATTGCCTGGCAAGAGGGAACTGGAGTGGCATCAACCCCGGCAGCCTCTTAAAGCCTCAGACATGCCACGTAGCCGACGCACTATGAATGTCTCTGGCAATGGCGTGCATGTGCACCCATGTTTGGAATCCAGATTGGGACCACATATCTCGAAGAACCTCCAGTTACAGTAAGTAACCTTCTCTTGCTTAACATGAGCAGTAATTCTGCTTAAAGGGGATGCAGTCAGGTGCTGTAGTGCTGCTTAAATCTTTTGTGTGTTTGGGCTGATTCTCTGTTTGAAGCTCTAGCAGCTTACAGCCTCTCCTCAGGTGTTATGAATTTCATGTTCCTGGCTATTAGTTCATAATTTTCCTACATGCCGTGCTACCATGCTGGGTTTCTCCACAACTGCCCCGGTGTTTGGCTGGGCAGGTAAAAAGGTCAGTCCTTATCCCTGTTCAGATAGTGCCTCCTCCCAACTCCATGGATCTGTTTAGTAACATCTCTGATTCTGCAGACTGACTGGACAACAGGATTAAATCTTAAGGGTAGTGAACTGTGTTAAATGGTGTAGTGGTCCCTCACTCTCAAGTGGGGAGGGAGGCCATTCCACCTTGCTGTATCAGGCAACAGCACTCCGGCTCAGGTCTCGCTGGCCTCACTGATTTGTAAGAAGTCTATAGCTCTGTAACTGCCTAGCAGAGGCGAACAAGCAGTAACAGTCCGATGCTCTCGCCACCTTGGGTGGGGCAGAGTAGTCTTTAGAGGGCAGTCCCGGCAACTCCTCCCCAGGGTTGGCAGCAGACTGGAGAGGTCTGTCTCCTTCCGTGGCTTCCGCCCAACTGAGCTTTAGGGCCCTCTCTTTATACTTCCTGTCCCGCCTGGTACTTCTGGCGAGGGGGGGTGGGGCAGGTCTGGCTCCGCCCACCAGGGGAAGGGCAGTGGTCCTTTTTTCTCAAGTCCAAACGGAGGCCACTCCACCTCACTACAAATGGCTATTCCTTTTAATGGAGATGAAAACTCATCCACTGAGACATCCAGTTTCAGGATTCTACTGAACTTTCAAAGGCCATACAAGCATTTAGAATGGTTTGGTGGTTTACCTCCTCCCAGCATTAGAAGTTATTTTGAATAATGTCAGTAATTAAAGTGATGCAGCAGAAGAATTAAATCAATAGCTAAAATATTTCAGATTATACCTAAAAGTTATCCAGGAGAGACTGTGTAAAGTTAGACATAGAGGTATTGAAAATTAGCACTCAGGTCAGAAACCAAAAAGCCACAGCATCGAAAAGCTCATGCTGCAGTGTGGTAACTCTTTCTTCGAAATTTCCCCAAAGAACAGGAAACGGAGACAGCAAGCATAAGTGGGTGGGACTCTGAGGTTAGAACTGTTATTAAAATAAAATATTTGAATCTAAACTTTGCTGATAAACACTTCAGTTGTCTATGATGGTAGCAGAGAGTAGTATTCCAAGAGATCAGAACCTGAGTACAGTAAATAAGGTGAGTGTTTTTTTTCTTGAGTGATATTGTTTTTAGATTAAAAAAAACATGAGCTTTCTTATCTTAGAGAAAGTTGTATTAATCTGTTGCAGCCTATAAAGTGTTGAGGACAGTTTTCAAAGTTTAGTATCTACAAATTAGGTGGTTTAGAGCAATATTGTTTTGAAAAGATAAAAGAATTGCACTGTCTCCTTTTTAAAATGAATGGTTTAAGCACACTAATGAATGTGAAAATGAGTTCTTGTAACTCTGTGTGGTAAATGTTCAAATTCTTAGCTGCAATGAAGCCTCAAATTCTTCTAATCCAAAATTTGATATAACGTCTTTGTTTTTAGTTTGTAAAATCTCACTCTGTTTTTGTAATTACCATCTATTAGTTTTCTATAGCTTTTTTCAGAGCATCATAATTAAGTTCATTTTTATTTTGGACAAAAATAGTATTTTCTCTTAATGTTAACTTTTATGCCAAGCTCATTTTTGAAGACTTTTTACTGCACTTGCTTGAAAGCAAGGTGTGTTGGTGTTAATTATATCTAGACCAAATGTTAATACCTTATTTAGTTCTATAGAAAGCATCTCAGCAAATCCTATTAATTCCAGTTAGTATGTCATCCAAATTGTTTTGCTAACTTAAATAACAGAAATGTTAAATAATGTCAATTGTAGCTATTATATTATGCAGGGAAAGTTAGATTCTCTTGTAGTAAACACAGGAAATACAGCATGATGAATTCATATTGAAAGTGCTTCTATTTTCCTCATGAAATCTTTATCTTACTTCAGGAGCGGATTTCCCCTGAAACATACCATGCCCCAATGACAGGGGGCCCCCAAAACATAGGCGTGGGAACTAGCGGTGCGGGGGGGGGGCAGCATCCCCACATTTTATGCGGGGCTCCACTGCTGCCCGGGGTCCCGGCTGCTGCCCAGGGTTCTGCGGGCTCCACTGCCACCCAGGGTCCCGGCTGGTGCCCAGGGCTCTGCAGGATCTGCTGCCACCCGAGCTCCCGGCTGGTGCCCAGGGCTCTTCAGGGTCCGCTGCCACCCGAGCTCCCGGCTGGTGCCCAGGGCTCTGCAGGGTCTGCTGCCACCTGGGCGCCTGGCTGGCGCCCAGGGCTATGCGGGCTCCATTGCCACCTGGGCTTCCGGATGGTGCCCAGGGCTCTGCTGCCGTCTGGGGTCTCGGCTGGCACCCAGGGCTCTGCGGGCTCTGCTGCCGCCCGGGGTCCTGGCTGGTGCCCGGGGCTCTGCGGGGTCTGCTGCCGCGTGGGTTCCGGGCTGCTGCCCCGCGCCACTTACATTAAAACATATTGTTAGCTCAGAACAGCCCAGGCTCCTGGGGAGACAGGGAGGTGCCCGAGCCCGGCCACGGGGGCTGCAGCGCAGCGGCTAAGAGGGATCGCAACTGCCTGCTTTGCAAGGACCCAGCGGCCAGGGTAGGCGAGCAGAGATCAGCGCGCGGAGGCAGTGGGGCGCTCAGGTGGCCGCTGATGGAGCCGTGCCCCTCCCCCCCCACCTTCAGATATGTGTTCAGTGAGGCCGCCGGGGCACCCGAAGCTGTCCTCAGCCATGAAGATCTTGATGTCTTCTGTCTCCTTCTCTAGCCCCATGGCAGCTCCACTCGTGCGCTGCCACCCCAAGTCCCGGCTGCTGCCCTCCGCTCCCAGGCTCTGTGGGCTCCACTGCCGCCCCGCTGGCCGGCCCGGAGAAGCGGGCAGAACACCAGCTGGGCAGAACACCAACAGTGGGCTGGTGCCCCGGGTCCTTCAAATTGCTGCCGAAGCCCCGGATGGCGTAGCCCAAGCAGCGCTGAAGGTCTGGCTGGTGGAGGCTAGTCCTGAGCCCAGCCCCTTCTGGCGGCCTGGAGCCAGCAATTCTGTCGCCAGTCCTGCCTTCACCCCTAGTTCCCGCGCCTATGGTCCCAGCTGCCACCCTGCAGCCCACACCCAGGTCTGGACCTGCGCCTGGGGTGGACAGGGCTCTAGCTTTCTTTTTCTTGGCTGTGTCCCTAAAAATGAAGCTACGCACAAGGCCCCACTAACTCTAAATCCGCCACTGTCTTACTTTATCTTTCTACCTCCCATGGTCTTTGGATTTTTATGAGAGAACTTCCAAAATGTTGTGTAATCTGTGTAATTTTGCAATTATCTGATACAATTTCAAATCAGTTATTTACTTCATTCTTCTAGATCCCCAAGTAAACCCTTGGCACGGAAATTGATGAGTGGGATGGACTGGGAGGTAGTGAGTAGGAATTCATTGTCTGATGACAGGTTAGAAACACAGAGCCTACCATCACGATCTCCACCTGGAACCCCAAATCAGTAAGTAGAGTGGCGTATCCTCTCTGCAGTCATCATTGCCTGTTCACCTCTTATTTGTCAGTTATCCCTGTGCTATAACAAAACATTAGTTCATTACCAAAATAAAGCTGTTTGTTTCACAAGGGAATTTCTACAAACTAGCTCTTAACATTCCTTTATGTGGAATTCAATGTTCTAAATTTTATTTTTGATGACATTCTTTGGTATATAATAATTCTAGATGCATTTCAAAAGCATCCAACCTATAAAAAAGTGTAACGTTTGGCACTAAATACCGTAATAGTTTGAGACGTTTCCCCAGACGTTTCCTTGCATGACTGCTAACAGCTGGATTATAATTGCAATATATCTAATATATCTGACAGTGCTAACAGAGCATATGAGATGATAAATATGGCTTGAAGAGATGACATTAATAAAACCTTCAGCTGTATAATTATTTTATTCAGGAATAATTTTAGAATTTAACTTTTTGGTTCTATAATACAGTACCTCTTGTTAACATGTGTTCCAGGTATAGGCAGTAAAAAATGCTAGTGGGTTAATTTCCCTGTTTTTCTGCATTTCTTTTGTTACCTGCAAAATTTACTTTTAAACATCAGGAAGCTTTCTTGTTTTCTGTTTATGATGAATGAAAAGCATTCTTGATTTTTTTTACAAAATAGGAAAGCAGTTCTTTTAGGCTGCTGAAAGTGATGCTGAATGAGAACAGTTCAGTATTGCATAAATGGTGATTTCTCATTGAATGTGTCTCGTCTTTAGAAGTTATTCCAGAGTGTTATGCTAATATCTGAAACATTTTACATTCTAAGTATTATTATTTAATAATAATGTTTAGATTCTATAAAGCACTTTTTGCCCATAAATCTCAAGGTATTTAAAATGAAGGTAAGTGTCAAAAGACCCATTTTTCAGATGGGACAACTGGGGCAGGAAGTTGAAGTGTGACTATCATGGGGTCACACAGTAAGGTTGGTGACTGTGTTAGGAATAGAATCGAGGCTGAAATCCTGGCCCTGTTTAAGTTAATTAGAGTTCTGCCATTGACTTCAGTAGAGCCAGGATTTCATCTCTGGTCCTTTTGACTGCCAGCCTATCCACTGGGTCATACTATTATAAGCAGAACTCCTTTCTTTAAAGTATTCCAGCATGTTTCATGACCTTCAGTATTTATGGCAAGAGAGGGTTTTTTACTCATTTTACGAAGTGATAAATAAGCCATTCTTCATAATATCTCTGATTTGGTTATTGTTTCAGTATTTTTTGAAATAATAAAAAGGTTTTGAGAATTTGAAATAATGGAATTGAAAGAAAAATTAATTGAATGAGTGAAAATGAATTAATGGAATTACCATTCACTGTTTAAAATTCTTCAGTAAAATTATGTATATGAATATATGCTTACATTTAGAAGGAAAATAAATATTTTTTTTTAAATGGTACACTTATAGTTTTAGGACAATGCAGATTAAAAGCATCAATCTTGGAGAATTTTCTAACTGCTTAATTATTCTTTTCCCATTTAGTCGCAATTCTGCATTTACTCAAGAGGGATCCCGTTTACGACCATCTTCAGTTGGACATTTAGTGGACCACATAGTTCACACCTCACCAAGTGAAGTTTTTGCAAATCACAGATCTCCATCCTCCACCCAAGCTAATAGCATCATTCTGGAATCATCACCGTGAGTTCAGCCATTAATATGTTATTACTATAGCACATTGAGGCCCTGATAGAGAGAGTTCCTACCTTGGAGAGTTTATTTAGTTCCCTTTAATCTTTATCAGTAAAGCCCAGGTCCAAAAACCATTAATTTATAAATAACTATTTTTAGAGGGCATTAATATAAATCTGATAAAAGGATAGTTGCCAGAGTAAGTGCCCTGAATTCAGGTGTTACAATGGTGTAGGATTTTATTTATGTCATAATTTTATTTAGTGCCTGTAGATAGGTTTGGTGGAGTTATGTGAGTATCATTCTCAGTGTGTATACAAGATTTTTTTTTGCAAGAAGGAAAGAATGCATGATTTTGTGGTCTGATGTAAAGGTTTTAGTGGCATGGGTTTGGAAATGTTGCATTATTTTCAGGGGTCAAAAACTGTATTCTCTGTGTGTCACATATTTAAAAGAATTTTTTTAAATACTATAAAGCTTTTTATTTATTTTTTAAAAAATATTGGTACAATTTTCGCTATAAGTGTCTAAATCTCAACTTTACTATGAGACCAATTATACAGAGCTCAGATGAAGAAGGAAACTAATATATTACTCACCAGAAAAATGAAAGTAATTTATCGATAGATAAGTGTCACAGGAACCTTCCTTTTTCACTGGTATAAGGCACACGTTTCTAGTGTTTCATGGTCACAAATTACCTGTCACTGAGCAGAATTAGTTATTCATGCTGGGGTCCAGACAAAGGCCATTTTTTGTGGGGAATTCTCTATTTGTGGGAAAATAGGAAAAATTTACAAGTTTATTCTAAAACGAAGAAGTGGTTGTTTGAAGTTGTTCATAGGTTTCAAATGTTAGAAATTTTGATAGAACTGGATTGATGGGCAGAGTGCAAATAAAATGGTAGAAGGTGCGTAATAAATGCTATTTCTCTCTCTCTCATATCACCACCAAATCTATTTCTATGTAGATAAATTGAACACTTGATGTGGTATAAAATAATTGTCATAATAATTTTGGGATGGGTCAGTAAACAAGCAAATTGTGCAGATTATCTCCAAGGAAAACCCATAAAACATTTATTCCGCACCATCATGTATTTTATATGTGCCTTAGGTGTCAGAAAATCTGCTTTAGGATTTTTTTTAATTTTTAGACAGTGTTTAAGAAGTTGTATGTGAACTTTCTGTTGTATCTCTCTGCCTGTAACTTACTAGCAGACCAACTGTTCAGGGCTGTTTTAGAGAGAGAAATTAAAAGTAATAAATGTAAAACACCTCTTATAATGACCTAATAAAGCATTTATAAGACACAAAATTCTCCCAACTTTAATAGCTGATGTATCTTGCCTTTACAATGTTAGAATAAGTGTTGGCAATCTCCTCTTCCTAATAATATGAAACTCCCATTTTTAATCCTGCCAGAATCTGACTTCAAAGGTATCTGACTTCAGACAGAGACATTTTTATGTCTGTTGTTGCTGTGTGATATTCATATTATGGTAGTGGCATATTAGGGTTCCATTGTGGTAGGTGCTGTACAGAGGGAGATGTGATTCCTGCTCCAAAGAGTTTATAATGTAAGATGAAGAGCAGCATACAAAAAGTGGGAGAGAGTGCCACAATGTAATATAAACAACTTTTTATGTAAATATACATATCTGCTCTATATTTTTGGCTTGGTGGTAATGTGATTATCAGCTTTCTTAAACTACCCCTTATTCTATTTATTAAATAGTTGATTTCTCGTAAGGGTCACCACAGAAGGGAGTCTTGAAAAGCCTTCTAGGAAAGGGTAGTGGCTTTGCAGATCAGTTCAGGCATGGATGTTCCTTGCATAAAATGTGGCAGGGAAGAAAGTATAAAGGTGTGTGTGAGAGAAGCAGAAAAGCTACGACTAGACAAAGACTGAATTTTGTCTGAATTGGATGTGCAAAATTGGGACGTAGTCAAATATATAATATACCTACGACACAGTGACTTAGGTGTCTAAGGCTATGTCTACACTGGCGAGCTTACAGCAGCACAGCTGTACCATTGCAGCTGTGCTGCTGTAAAATTGCTCATGTAGCCGCTTTATGCTGACGGGAGAGAGCTCTCCCATAAACATAATAAAACCACCTCCACGAGCTCTCCTGCTGACATAGTAATGTGCACACTACAAATTATGCCGGCAAAACTTACGTTGCTCAGGAGGGTGTTTTTTTCCATACCCCCGACCTGAGTGACATAAGTTTTGCCGACACAAGTTGTAGTGTAGACCTGGCATAAGTCCCATTTAAAAACATGTAGTTTGTCACATGAGTGACACATGTCACTTAAAAATAGAACGTAGGCTCCGAGTCATTTATGTGCTTTTGAAAATTTTACCTCCTCGTTTCTTTGAAGTGTCAAAATGTTACTGATTCAGGATTTGATAATGATAAAAGAACAGAGACCATCATTAAAAAAAAAATCTGTGGACAGAAAGTTAGCTTTAAACTACTTAGCACCAATTTAAAGTCCAGGTAACACATGGCAGAGCACTGTTATGCGTTAAATATATATAATATAAATGAGCTTTTTATGTTTAAAATAAAAAGCTCTTTGGACTGTAAACTGTGAGAGTTTAAAGTTAGGGAACTAAGAGAGCTATACCTCTCAGGACCCTTGTAGCATTAAGCCTGTTTATATCTGCAATATTCTAGAGGAGATGCCTTGCATTACTTACAGATTCAGTTCATTTTAATTTGAAGAGTACACTTTTCACTGCCAGAAAAGTTTAGTCTTTATTGTGCTGTTTTAAGCAAATAAAACTAGTGGGTTTGCTGAATTGTTCTGATTACTTTTATGGTAGAATAACAAAGATATTGAGATCACTGAACTCATTTAAGTTGACTCTTTTACCAGGACTGAAAGGTCTGTAAATAAGATGCATCTCAGTGCACGTATGTGCTGAAAAGTTTTTAAATAAAATTAAATCTAGTTCCAAAGCTAGAGACAAAAGTATATCCTGATTCCTGCAGTATTTAGGGTCAATGAAACTTTGACCTAGCTTATTTTATTGCAGACACAACTGGGCTATCAGCACAAATTACAGGTGTTTCCTGTAATCTGGATAATAAACTTTCAAATCCTGCATTTAACATTCTGGCAACTTTACCTTTTGACGTGTGATCCTCAACAGCAAATAGAGGAAAGTATCTATTGTAGAAAGGTGTAGAAATGTGTCCATACTGCAGCACTCTGAATAACTGACATTTATTGAGACCATAGCAAATATTAAATACTGCTGTTTGTTCTCATATTCCTCTTGCTATTTCACAGTACGTTGTGATGTTTCTGATTGTAATTTCCTGAGATAATTAAAATACCTCCTACATTAATTTTTAAAAGAACATAAGAACTGCCATACTGGGTCAGACCAAAGGTCCATCTAGCCCAGGATCCTGTCTTCCAACAGTGGCCTATTCCAGGTGCCCCAGAGGGAATGAACAGAACAGGTAATCATCAAGTGATCCATCCCGTCGCCTATTTCCAGCTTCTGGCAAACAGAGGCTAGGGACATCATCCGTGCCCATCCTGGCTAATAGCCATGGATGGACCTATCCTCCATGAATTTATCTAGTTCTTTCTTGAACCCTGTTACAGTCTTGGCCTTCACAACATCCTCTGGTAAGGAGTTCCACAGGTTGTGTGCACGTTGTGTGGAAAAAATACTTCCTTTTGTTTGTTTTAAACCTGCTGCCTATTAATTTCATTTGGTGACCCCTAGTTTTTGTGTTACGAGAACGAGTAAATAACACTTGCTTATTTACTTTCTCCACACTAGTCATGATTTTATAGATTTCAATCATATGCCCCCTTAGTCGTCTCTTTTCCAAGCTGAAAAGTCAGTGTCTGATTAATCTCTCCTCATACCGCAGCCATTCCATACCCCTAATCATTTTTGTTGTCCTTTTCCAATTCCAATATATCTTTTTTGAGATGGGGCGACCACATCTGCACACAGTATTCAAGATGTGGGCGTACCAGGGATTTATATGGAGGCAATATGATATTTGCTGTATTATTATCTATCTCTTTTTTAATGATTCCCAACTTTCTGTTTGATTTTTTTGACTGCCGCTGCACATTGAGTGGATGTTTTCAGAGAACTATCCGCAGTGACTCCAAGATCTCTTTCTTGAGTGGTAACAGCTAATTTAGACCCCGTCATTTTATATGTATAGTTGGGATTATGTTTTCCAATGTGCATTACTTTGCATTTATCGACATTGAATTTCATCTGCCATTTTGTTGCCCAGTCACCCAGTTTTGAGAGATCCTTTTGTAGCTCTTTGCAGTCTGCCTGGGACTTAGCTATCTTGAGTAATTTTGTATCATCTGCAAATGTTGCCACTTCACTGTTTACCCCTTTTTCCAGATCATTTATGAATATGTTAAATAGGACTGGGCCCAGCACAGACCCCAGGGGGACACCACTATTTATCTCTCTCCATTCTTAAAACTGACCATTTATTCCTACCCTTGTTCTTTTAACCAGTTACCAATCCATGAGAGAACCTTCCCTCTTATCCCGTGACTGCTTACTTTGCTTAAGTGCCTTTGGTAAGGGACCTTGTCGAAGGCTTTTTGAAAATCTAAATACACTATATCCACTGGATCCCCTTGGTCCACATGCTTGTTGACCCCTTCAGAGAATTCTAGTAGATTGGTGAGGCATGATTTCCCTTTACAAAAACCATGTTGACTATTCCCCATCAAATTTTGTTCTTTATTATCGTTTCAACCAGTTTGCCCGGTACTGAAGTCAGGCTTATCGGCCTGTAATTGCCGGGGTCACCTCTGGAGCCCTTTTTAAAAATTACTGTCATATTAGCTATCCTCCAGTCATGTGGTACAGAAGCTGATTTAAATGATAGGTTACAGACTACAGTTAGTAGTCCTGCAATTTCACATTTGAGTTCCTTCAGAACTATTGGGTGAATACCATCTGGTCCTGGTGACACTCCGACACTTACTACTGTT